CTACTCCTCTGACAAGAGCTCATTATTGACTCTAACATCTCCATCCTCCACACCGCTACCTCACTTCACCTTTAGAAGGTCACTAGCCTAGCTGACTCCCCACCTCAGTTTCCTCTTGTCATTTCCACCTGTGTCAGTCTAGAATCTCCCAAAATTTCAAAACTGATCATGTGCCTGCCTCTTTTCAAAAACTCTGATGCTTCTCCATTGCACAAACATAAAATCAAACTCTATTCTGCCTACAGAGTCCTCCACAATTTGCCACCTAAGACCTTTTGCAGGATTGGATTCCATAGCTTAGATTGTCACTTGGACCTATCATCTTTCAATTAAAATCACGCCACTCAGAAAGGCTCAATTCAAACTCCACTCTTTATATCCCCTACATAATGTTTAGGAAAGGACTTTTCATGGAAAAGGCAAAATTCCTAATGAACAGATTCAGAAAATTAAAAAAAAAATTTTCTTCCTTAAAATTTAAGTCCTTCTGTAAATATTAAGCTTTTTAAAATATCAGTTCTTCAAATATTATTAATATTTCGATCAAGAAATCCTTCAAAAATCCAGCATCGTTAACCAACATTTACTAAATACTGATAATGAACAATGTAAAGTAAACTCTTATATGAAATATCATCAACCTGAAGGTAAAAAGGTATAATCTGATCCCAGGATTCTAATTCCAATATTATTTGTACTTGGATCTTACTTAAGAAAGGAAAAATATATATTTAGTAAGTGGACTTGACATTTCACCTAATAGAGACTTAAGTCACTTAAGTCCACAGCCAAGATAGAAAGTTACCTGATCTAAATCATCTTCAGGCTAGGAAAAATTCTCATCAGATTAAAAAAAAATTTTTTGACTGAGATGTCATAAAATTAGCCTTTTTCAGTACACATTTAAGCGTTAATTTTTTCTAAGGGCCCAATGATGTGACGGGCAATTCCAAGCCTCTCACAATGAGACCTGGTAACTAGCACACATACCAGCAGGTGTACAGCAATCAGACCTACTCCAGGTAAGTGATGTTGTGGGCAGTACCATCTTTCTGTTACCTTCTAAGACCTTATTTCTTTTAGGCCTAACCTAATTTAATTCCTCTTATGGCTCCTAGCCTACTGAGTTCACGTGAATCTTCACAGCTGTGTACTGTGAAACACTCTGCTCCTGAAGAGAATGCAAATATTCAAG